ATAGGACACCCACCATTTTAGTGGTCGCCCTGCAACGGAGGCACAAGTTCCTGAGCCCATCGGAGTGCCAGACCCTGATCAGCATGTGCCCTGGCCGGGCTGGCTTTTGGGCCAAAAAACGACGTGGGGAAGGCGACCCCAAAGCATAGGACTGAGGACGAAGTACTATGAACACCATGAGCTTGATTTGGAAAGTGCAAAAGGGTCCTTAGCGGTTTGTGTGTTGTGGTTCAAGTTTCATGTGTTGCGCTTTCGCGTTTTTTAGGTGGCGTCAGGATGCAAGATGGTGGCTAGGCACGCTGTTCCACGCGCCCGGCAAAGGATCCTCCAGCGAAAGGAGAGGTCGAACTTCCAGACAAAGTTGCGAGCGCCGCTGGAAGTCGAAGATGTGCGCTGGACTCAGGAGCAGCACCTTGGCACAAGAGCCTTTTGGGTTACCTGACTGCGGTCAGGTTGTGAATTGAGCAAGTTGCCTGGGGCAAACAAATTAAAGGCTTGCAGGAAGCGGCGCCTTGGCCTGACGAAAGCCGTTTCCACAGGGTTCTTTGTGGTTTATCTAGAAAGAAGGATCCCTGGAAAGAATGGGGAAGTTACCCCTAGAAAGCTGGCGAGTTGTGTGGCAGTGGAAGCCAAGGCGAGACTTGATCTTGAAGATTGAGACTCGCTTGGCTGAACTCACCGGCTGCCCCATCCATCCTGACGAGACGGCCTTGGTGGGAACATTGACGCCCCCGGAGCGGTCACAGGCAGTGGGGAGTACGGGGGACAAGTTTCTTGCACTGTGAGCTTTGCTGGGGCTTTGTGAAGCAACATGTCCCTTTTGGATTCTCCAAAAGTGGCGATCGTTTTAGTGGAAATCACCAGTAAATCGATCAACTTTTGATTTGGGATTTTCAGCCATTTGCTTGAGAACATGTTTATATATATATATACATATAGACATTTATTCCCTTGTTGGTTTTTACAGGGAACCGATTTCACTATTGGAGATATGTGTTGTTTCTTCCCCCAGAGGCCGTGTTCGCAGATGGAGGCAACCCAGGCAGCCCCCGACCCCAAGTTGCCCCGAGTTGCCCCGACGCGAGGCGAGGCATGGGCTGAGCGATCACCTGGGGCTTCATGCCCGGCCCCCGGGGGGTGACCAGGGGCTGCCCGCGGGGGTGCCATGGACGCGAGACGAGTTTTCGGCCCAAAGACTTTAGCCGGATTTTTTGCGGTCTCCACGGCGTGAGCAGTACCGGTGGCAGCTGGGGGCCCAAAGACTTTTAAAAAAATACCCGAAACAAAGCCACCGGGAGATGGCGCAGAGAGAGCGAGAGAAACACACAAGTGGCAAACAAAGACGCTCCTAGAATAGAACGGCTTAAAGGTGCTTGTAAAGTGCCCTACAACCCTCATTCTGCCCGGGCGCATGGACTTCAGCTTTTTACAGGGCCAACCGACCTGGGAAGCCATTGTTTGTTGGTATTTACAGGGGATCATATCATTCTAGGGTTTCTTAGATGGTGCAGGATTTCGTCCATCCACAGTATGAAAATCTGGCCTCGGCCCAGGTCGACACCAACGCAGCGCACTGGCGCTTTTGCACTGCGCCGTCGCAGCATTCATCTCGGGCGTCGGGGGCTGGACGCCGCAGCCATAGCTTGGGGCATCCGAATCTAAGTTCCATTAGAGGTCTCATTTGTTGTTGCAATGGTTGATTGAGTCTCCTGGGGTGGTGTCTAAATAGGAAATACATGAAATGCTGGAACATGCCCAGCCACAAAACCCCGGTTTTCAGTCCCCTTGCAATATTTATATGCAGCATATCCGTAGCGCAAGATTGTTCATGTTACGGTATTTGACATGCCCCAAAAGAAACCAACAGAGCATGGATTCAGGGCCCCCTGCCCAGCACCCAGGTTCACTTCTCTTGGCATTGTGATAGGTACGCCTTCGATTTTGTTGTTTTGCTTTTGAAGGCTGGGAAACACCACGGGTTCTGCATGGTGCCCTGCCGTCCACGTACAGAAGGAACCCAACAGGGTCGATCTTTTTTGGAGGAAGTGCTTCTCAGTGGGTTTGAAGTGAGCTGGATCAACAAAATGCGGCACAGAACCCCAGACCAGACCATTTCAACAGCAGAAAAATCGACGCGTTTATTGTCTTACTGAGGGATTCCTAAGGCAATCGATCCAGTGGCAGCTACCTTTGTCATGAGTCATAACTGGTGACACCAGGTCTAAGTCCCCCAGTTATGGGGGTACCCCAGTTACAACGTAGCGCTGTAAGGTTGTTTCACCGGTTATGAGCCCCTATGTGAGTTACAACTGGGGTTACGCCCATGCCAACATGTGCTGCACAGATGCAAGAGCCAGCTTTGGACACTCCCTTACGTGAATGGAAAAGGTGGGGCAACAGACCAGCACCATTTGCGAAGCTTTCAATGAGGGGCAACGCCCCAAGCTTTCTGAACATTTTGAACCAAAGAAACGTCGAGCGTTGGGTGGTCCTAGATGTCCTAGTGCATGGCAACGATATGTTTGTTGCAAGGGCAGCTCTTAAGTTACTACCACTGCAGCTTTTTGTTGCGGGTTCCCGTCTTTCGATAAGGCTTGGACGTTTGTTTTTGCGGTTTGCACCTCGATTGTTGTTTCTTTGCTTGCCGGTGATTCTGTATTCATTTGATACTCTGCAGGTTGATGGATCGGCAAAGGCGATCATTCCGGTCAGTGAGTTTCCTTTTGCAGGTACTCCCTCACGCAAAAAGACATGGAACCCAACAGGGGCCTGATGCCCGTGGACAAAACATTGCCTTTTTGGGAGATCAGGGATGGTCTTGTGCGGCTTCGGACATGGTAGTTGGCCTTTTTGTCCAAGCTGGAGCACGCCTTTGTTTCGGCGGAATGACACAAACTAAGTAATGAGATCGACGGTCAATATTCAACAGCATCTACTGTAGCCATGGGGTGACATGGGGTGACATGGGCTACACTCACTAAATGACTCAGCAAAATACGTGGAGTATGTTTCATTTACTCAGCTACCTCACCAAACTTTGCACTCCATTTAGGGACGCCTGCTGAATATATGACTGTGGCTCGTCCAGCAGGACGCGTCAACGAGATGACCTGTTCTCAGCTGTGCGGGAAGGGGCATGTCCCATCCAGCAGATGGAGCCCGATTGCGACATGATTTATACTTAGCATGCATCTCTTTGCAAGCTGGAAGCTTGCAATTAGCAACAATGTTCAAGCTGCGCACATCAGCATGCTTACGAAGAATACATGGCCTTGGGGTCGATGTTTTAAGCAGCCGAAAGGCTTGCATTCCGAAGGCATGCAATGTTTTTGGCAAGACTGAACGAACTTTCAGCAACTCCAGGAGTGTTGCTCAAAGTGAGGATGCAACTTTGGGAACCTTGTCTAATCAGGAAAGCCCAGGGCACTGACTTCCCACTTCCTTATCATTTGAACAGCCCTATGAATTTGGCCCCGTCCCTCTGAAAAGAAAAAAGAAAAAACTCGGGGCGCGAATGGCCCGGGGCGCGGGGGCTCAGGCCATCATCTACCTCTCGAGTCTGAATCCTGAGTTGCAGGGCGGAGAGACGGTCTTCCCAGCAGCACTGGATCCCAGTCAGGAAGGCTGGGCGCAACAAAAATCCTTCGCCAGCCTGACTTTCAATTGAAAATGGGGGGAGGGGGGTTCCTCTGAAGACGGACGGCTTCCTTTCGTGGGTGGTTTTTTCCTCGAGATCCTTGTGGGACTCTGCGCATGAAGCAGAAAGTAAGGGCACAGTGTGGGAGTTCCTACGTTGCGAGCAAGGAAGCAGCATTTGGCATGGTGTTGCATTTCAGCCGGCGGTTGTGCTAGGCCGTCTTTGCACGATCTTACGCGTTGGGCTCCAGCGGGATAAGACCAGTTCAAATCTGCGGACTAGGGGTGTTTCTTTCTGGTGGAAGTCCAAGCTGTGCCTATCGCTGCAGGCATCCAGGTAGGGACAGCTGTGAGTATGAGAAACGATTTTGATATAACGTCTCGAACAAATCCGCGCGACTAAAATCCATTACACATGCAATGTCGATAGTACCTCTCACCGTGAACCTTTCGACGCTTAGGTGACGGGTTGCCATGGTTTCTGTGGAGCCCGCCTTTGAAGGGCTCCATATTTTCCACAACCCACCCAGGTGAACAACACCTGAAGATAGCTCCTCCCAACTTGCAACGAACCCAGACACTTCCATTTGATTAAGAATATTGTTTTATTTTCCCCTCTTGATTTTACAGGGAATCTATCACTACTGGAAATATGTTTATTTTTCCCAGGGGACTTAAGCAAATGGAGGGACATCATTTGAATTGACTGGGCTGCGCTGGTTCCCCAGCCTTCGCAAGCCTTTGCCTGTTTCGTGGGCGTTCTTCACAGGCCCACCTGGTGAGGAGGAGGAACGGGTTATCGAGGTGCCAGCTTTGGGCGTGCTGAATAGTTGGTTTGTGGTTGGTTGAGGGTTGGTTTAGAGCCCTGTTTCATGAGGGCGAGCGACCCGAACGGGCAGAAGGGGGTGAGAAGCATACCTAGTACCATATGCGGACTTCTTACAATAGCAAGGCTTCGAGTGGTGTAGGAAAGAGATAGAATGAGCCATCAAGCGAGTCGAACGCGCAGCTGTGCGAGTCTCGGGCTTTGTGCTCCCTCCCCCCTCTCCCCCCCCACCCCCTCCCCCCAGCCCCCATGATGCAATGACGCTCGTTGCATTGTACCGTCGATGTAAACAGAAAGTCTTGGCTTGGCGCCTTCGTTTTCTTGCCGGTGCGAGAGATGCAGGGGATGAGCAATGGAATACCCCCGATTTAACCAACCAGCTGGCAGTTTCCTTTCGGGGGACCAATTCCTGGGCATATCCCCGCGCGCTTAAAAATGGAATTGGGGGAGGGGGGTGACCCCTGGAATTCCATTTATAGTTCCATTTTCCCTTTCATGGGGGAAGCCTAGATAACACTGCGGCACCCATCGCATTTCGGGAATTTCTCCAGGCTGCAGGTGAGCTTCTCGACCTGGACCTGGACCACACCGACAAGGCAACTCGTCGGATCACTCGTCGCGTCAGAGTTTTCATTTGGTGTGGGAGCATGAAGAAGGAGAAGGAGAGGGAGAGGAAAAGAAACCTGAAGGATTGAGCTAGAGTTAAGCCGACTAGATTGTTTGGCTGGACGTGTGGGTTTCGGTGACGTTGCTCTCAGTGAGCCTGTCCGCCGTCGGTGACGGAAGAGGAGTTTGTACTCATCCGGCCGGGAAGGCAAAAGCTCAACGCGCGCCTTCCCCGATCTCAGGACCGCTCCTCGTTCTACGAAGATTCGGTAGTCACGAAAGGGAATGACCTTGTATAGCGTTTTGGGAACCAGCTTCGGCGAGATGGGCAAGCACACCGGGCTATCGTAGAGAGTGTACTGGTACCAGTCTCGACGGACAGTGAGGATCAACTCAAACATGCCGACCCCGTCCTCGGGGTCGTGGTGCACACATTTTGGTCCAGGAAGTGGCACAACCCCCCCTTTGGACAAGGGCCCAAACCTCCACATATGATTGTTGCAAAACGGGTAGACTGCACACATATTCCAACTGGTCCATATGTTTGTTTTTCATGTTCATTGACATATGCAACATATCTATACATATGAGTATGCAGTATGCGTATGTGCATATATATATATATACACATGACTTGCTCTTCAAGGGCAACTTTGCTCCCATCGTTTTATTATTTGTTTCCCGACGAGGGTCAAAGCTTTGGCTAGGCTCTGGCACTGCCTGACCAGCCAGAGGTCACGGAGGCGGTCGCTGCGCCTTGGGCCTAAGCCCCGCCCTATCGCAGAGACGTGTGGGTCGTTTCTCTGAGACGACCCCCTTTGGGCTGGCTCAAAATGAAGCCAATACTCCTTTGGGGGGGTTCCCCAATTTTTTGCACACAAACCCGCGTGCATTGTTGCAAGGTGTAAGGATCATTTGGTGCGCCGCCATTTGATTTACACTTGGCTTACCCTCAACTAGTGCAATGCTTGAGCAGGACATGCATGTTGAGGTTTTCCCCACATTCAGAGACAACTTAATTATTTGCAATTTTAAGCTTTTGAGATCACCATTTGGTTGCAATGCTGAGATGGATTTCCTTACGCAAGTCGCCCTGATATCCTCATACGATGGGTGGAAGGATGCCAGGTTTCATGAAGAACTTGGAGCGGCCTACCCAACGATCAGCCACAGGAAACCAAACAAAACATGGCGATGCCTTGGAAGCAAATTGATTATCTCCATTGAATCGGTGAAAGGTCAGAATCGCCGATGCAACCCACCAGCCAGCTTTCCCTTGGCGTCCCGCACCCCAGGTTCCATGCTATTTTGCTGATGCTCAGTAGGGAGTGAGAAATAGAATGACTCCTACAAACCATCCAACTGGTGGTTTCCTTTATTCAGGAATGCCAAAACGGTTCCTTCCATTTCTCATTCCCTTCCTACTGTGGATGGACGAAATCCTGCACCACCTAAGAAACCCTAGAATGATATGATCCCCTGTAAATACCAATGGTTTCCCATGGTGTCTTGGGTGGTGCGAACGGATTTTGTGCATCCGTGCATCCACAGTATCGTGGCGATCGCAATTCGGTGGGAGGGTACCCTCACTTCCTGAGTTCATGAACTTTAAACTTTTTGGGAAGACCATTTTAGTGGTAAACATAAAGTTTGGACTTTTTGTGGGCCATCTACTCAGCCAGTGAGCCAAAGTTCATTCGAAACACGCCGAGCGATGCCAAAAGACGGAGGCAAGGGCAGCCTCCGCCGCGCGGGATCTTCTGAAGGCGGCCGACTCTGGTGCCACAGGCTTGCAGGCCCGCAAGCGCCGGCTCTCTTCGCAACGGCTTAAAATCGCCCAGATGCAACAAGAAAGCTGGGGAGGGGTGACCTACTCTTCTTTCTGTTGGTCATTTCCTAGGGGCAATGTTGCATGCATTTTTTAGGTTCTCGTATTTTTTTTTAGGGGGTTGGTTGGTTGCCACCCGAGGGTCCACCCGAAAGGAAACAAGGAGTTGGGCCTAGGATTGGCAAAGAGGCACCTTGGCAATGCTCAGCGCCTGAGACATCATGCCTTGAATTGATCTGAGGGTGTTTTGGTGGAGTGGATGCGGGGGGGGGGGAACGGAATGCCAGGGCACAGAGGTCAAACGGATAAACACGGATATGCACATGGATGTACCGTCCTTTTGTAGCTGGTCTATGCCTAGTTTCTTCGACGGTGTCTAAGCAAGAGGACCAGCTCGGAAGTGTTTCAATGGCTCATGCCGAGCAACCTGCGGGCCAAGAGCAAGAAGACTCATCCACCTGAGTGGCATGAAGGTTGCGTCAAGCAATGCGGAGGCCTGGGAAATCAGATCCGGGCGACTGATCTTCGGCTTGAATGGGCTGGCGCCTCCCCGGCCTGCGCCCATTCCCGAGTCGATCAGGTGAAGCCGCAGCAAGGCGCCATG